AATTAAAAATGGTTTTTTAACAAGCTACAAATTATTTTCAAAAAAGCTAATGACTCGGATCCTATTTACTTGTATTGATATGTATTGATGTGTATTGATGTGTATTGGCCCAAATACACATACGTATCAATATACAATTTTTGTATTGATATATATTGATCTCTTCCACTAGGGATAAATTTCTAGGTGTTTACATAGATGAATCACTTAAATGGGATTTACATCTGAATCAATTAAAAAGTTAACTTAGATCCATGTCAATTGTATTTCTGCACTTAAGGGACTGTGTTCCTAAAGAAACTCTGAAAATGGTTTATCATGCTTATGTAGAATCAGTATTGAGGTATGGTATAATCTTATGGGGTCAGGCTACCGGAGTCAAATCAATATTCAGGCTACAAAAATACATTATCCGTATTATGACCAGCTCCAGGGCCGGATCTACAAAATATGGGCCCCCCTGCAAAAGTCCTCCAAGGGCCCCTACAGCTGCGTACGGGGCTCCAGGGGGTTTGGGGGTGTGGAGCACCCCCCTAGATAAAAGGGGGGTCCGGGGGTCCTTCCCCGGAAAAATTTCACATTTTTATAGCCGTTTGGTGACTTTCTAAAGCAATTTTTAACGCCTAAAACTGTGTCCAATAATAGTCCAAAAACTCCCATTTCACCTGTTGTTTGTCACGAGCAAGTAGACATAAGTAGAGTAGAGTAAAGTATATTTTTTAAATAGTTTTTACCAATTTATTTAATAGATCAGATTTATTATCCTAATAGAACTAGGCCTATATTAAAATATGAATAGATATTGCAAAACATAACAACTAATCCTCTATTGTGGTTTCTATTTCATAATTTAACTTGCACTTTTTAAACCTAGTTTTAATCTAATTTCTAGAAAATCATTTTCTACTCTTGCATGACTTTTGAGATTGGGTTATAAACTAAATCAGGTTTTGGCGGGCCTAGCTAGCAGCTTTAACTCAACTCTCTGTTTAAAACTTACAACCTCACCACTGGCATACTTCGTAGAAATGTTTTTCACCTAATTCATTGTTTATTAATTCACACTTAACTACACTTATAACGAAAAGAAACAGAGGTACAGGTACAATTGTGTATATTAATTAATTATTTAATTTAAGGGGATCCGCCACCTCTAAACCTAATTTTCTTATTTAAGCTAATATTTTCATTTTTTCTCTCATTTTTAGTTATTTAGCGTTTATATAATAGATATATGACAATTTTTTTTATATATACCTACATATATATTATATATACATATATAAATTTCGGAGTGGGGGGAAGAAAAGCTTAAATAACTTTTTTGTTTATTAATATATTTCAAAAAAGTAAGTATTTTCATGTTCCTTACAATCTACTGTAACTTTAATGGTATAATAACCATAGTAACGCAATTGTTACAAAAATTATAGCAATTTTCATAAAGTGTAAAAAATTTGACCTTAATTTTTACCAAAAATGTTTCAAAATATATTTATTTTTGATTGTATAAGGCTTATTATACCATTAAATATAGTTCATAGTATGGGGATGATGTGGTAAAAATTTGAATTAGCTAGCTCAAATACTTTTGATTTTATTTAACAAAATGTTAAAAAAACACGACTTTTGGGAAATTGCGTTCAAAGTCCGCGAACACCTGGTTTGCCCAAAACAGCTGTTTTCTCAAACAGCTGGTTACATATTATATTCATATAGCTCAGGTGCATTATAGCATTCAAACTGTTAAGTGTTTATATGTATGTGATAAATATGCCATTTTATAAATAAAAATTATTCTTTACTATATTATAGGGAATATATAGATGATTAAAAAAATAAAACTAAAAATCCGAATATTCTCACTTTTGTTTTGTGGTCAAGGTACCAATAGTAAATATGGTCAGATATGCATGAAACTTCACATGGATATTGTCAAAAGCATACCCAATAAGAAAATGACATTTTTGGAAAATTGTAAAAAATCAAAGAAACACCCATTTTAGAGGTGGCGGATCCCCTTAACAACTATAGAATACCGGCGGCACGGCACGATAAACATAACCTCACAAAACTACAGTAGTATTCACTATTTTGACTGATCTCTAAATAATTGCGTTGACAGATTGAGATCGCTCGCTGCACCCAGCGCTTGTCGTGGCAATAGTTTAAACTACTGTTTGGACGGAGTCCCAAACGCCTTCGAATACTGTAGGTCATTAGATAACGCTACAAAGATTAGTACAAGTAAGTCACTCCTGTACCGCGACAGACTTATGACTTATTGTTCAGCTCAACTGATGTGAGAGTGAGTGCTAGTGCTAGTTGACGTTGACACTTCGTCGTCACGTCGCTCGGTCCGATCGGACTGTAGTGGTCAGTGGATCTGTGAAGCTCACCATGCAGCTGACGTGCTGACTGGACTGAGCTGACTGAGTATGGACTGACTGAAAGTGGCGAGATTGAACTGTCTAGCTAGGGCGAGATCCCGAGTTGTCGAAGAGTAAAATCACAAGTCTAAATTTACTTAACAATTCTAACTTTAGCTTTGATGTTGACAATATTTATTTGTCTGTCAAAACTAAACTTGCCATCCTATTCAATTATGTTTATATGCATTAAAATAATTTTAATTTTTACGAGCTCTTTGGGCCCCCTAAGGGCTTGGGCCCCCCCGCATTGCGGGGTTTCGCGGTTCCTAGATCCGGCCCTGACAGCTCTCATCCACGTAGTTCATGCAAAAGCCTTTTTCAAAATTTGAAAATCCACACCCTAACAGGACTGTACATTTTGGAATCACTAAACTACATTCATTCAGCTAAAAACGAGCTCCCAGAATCAATTAAAATCAACCATAGATATAATACTCAAAATGAAAACATTTTTAGATTTCCAAGGCACCATTTGACCCTTTATGAAAAAAACCCACTATATGCTGGGCTGAGGCTGTACAATTTGCTGCCTGCAAACTATAAATTGTTAAATGAAAATAATTTTAAAGATAAAATAGGTGAACTCTTAATTGACAGAGCCTTTTATTTAATTGCAGATTTTCACAATGCCCCTTTAGTTTAGAATAGTTTTATCATTCAATTTTGTTAATTTATATTATCATCTTGATTACTATTTTATTTTTTATATTCTGATAATTTTAACTCTGACAATGCACCTATTCTGTATGTAACACATGTAAAGAATGTTATGTGCAAATAAAATATGTCTATGTCTATGTCTATATTAATATAGTACGGTAATATAGTGAAAGAAAGAAAGAGTTATCGTTTATGATTAAATAGTATTATTTGGTTAAACGAGGTTTTAAATTACTGAAATAACAAGAAAAAATTGTAAACAAAGCACAACATCTACAGAAAACCGGACAGAACTAACAATGAAATTGGCTTCAGCTGTTCTATAAGGATGGGAAATCTACCTTAATCTAATCGTCATAACAGATCCCACACTCCGTACTGCTAATTGTTAGCCTTTACTACAATTTATCGAGTAAGCTTCAGTATAATCATTGCTCAATAGTAACAAGTGATGTTTTTGCTTTTGTACTGTACTAGCTGTAACCCGCGGGCTTTGCCCCGTTTAACTTCTTAATTTTCAAGATGATCTCGTTCGCATGGCTCAATCACGTCCTGGTTGAAGTTCGTTCGCTACGCTCACTCACCTTTAGGTAGGAGCTTGTTCGCTACGCTCACTCACCTTTAGGTTGGAGCTCGTTCCCTGCGCTCACTTGCCTTCAAGTTAGCTCGTTCACTACGCTAACTCGCCTCCAGGTTGAAGTTCGTTCGCTATGCTCACTCACCTTTTGGTTGCAAATTAGCTGTTGTCATAAATGTAAAAGAAATAATAGTGCTGCACCCTGTTGGTAATCCTTGTAACTTTAATGCTATTGAACATCATAGAACAGAACCAACTTTTTTAATTGAAACAGCTGTTAAAATTCATTAATTCCATTTCTCATAAGGTTAACATGGGAAACTCCAGAGCCACTGGGGCGGAGCCGATTGGACGGATCACGAAATTGATGGTGTATAAACCTATTCCATGAAATTCTACACGTATGTACCAAGTTTCGTGGCAATCGGTTCAGCGTTGTCTGAGTTTATCACTGCCAAATATATGTATATACAAACATCCTCTTTTATACTTATAGATTTTGTAATTTCTAGTATACTGTGGGTAGATGACTTTATGAACACATGTGTTACAACTAACAAGTCTTTTGTTTACTTTTTCCTTGTTATTTAATTCAACCAACATGGTTACTGAGGAACCCATAAGACCAATGTTAAAAAAATGTGCCTTTCAGTTTTATTTTTCTACGTAATTAGATTTTTGTTGGCAGTTCTAATGGCAGTAAACTCGTTTTTAGGCCAAAAATAAACTATTTACAACATTTGAAGAAAATCGTCGGAGCCGTTTTCAAGATCTTTCTGCAAGCAAGCAAGCATACATACATACATACATACATACATACATACATACATACAAGCAAACATTGCTTGTATTAGAATATAGGATAGTCTCCACTTAGGTTTATGTGTTGGCTTTAGCTTGGACTATGCGCCAAAGAGGCTGTGTCCTAGTGTCAAACACAAAGTATAAACCCAAAACCCACACTCACACAACATATCTATTAACAATGACACTCCAAATCATCAAATTCAAACTGACCAATTTTGCAAATATTTAATGCCGACAACAACATAACACAATCCCAAACTAGTGTTGACAGACAAAAGAGGATAAAGATCAGCTGTTGCCTAGTACTTTAACTCACCACCAGACAGCATAGGCCTCGACTGAGCTGAAATCGTGATTTGACCAAGGAAGAAGATTATTAGTTTGTACACCGTAGTTGAAGTAACATCATTGTTACACGCTACCTACGCTCACACTTCGATCAAATAGCAGTATTATATTAAAGCAACAAAGCAACGTATAATAATATTTTTGAACCGCTTTAACATAAACACTCCAATTTTCAGATGGATTCAGAAGTGACAACTGCACTCTCGTGTTTGCCTTCAATCTCTACATACGATCCAAGTGAATTCTCATCCAAGTTGTACAAGCATTTATTACGGAAAATTGAGCATCCAAAACCAATGCAACTGGTAAAAAATACAAATATTGTTTGTTAACCGAACATTTTCACCATCTCCAATCCACACTGCTTATTCTCAATTGTTAGCACAGGACCTGCAAAATTGTACAAAATATCACTCACATTTTATGAGAATTGTATTTTTCAACAACTTTATTTGGGCCATAATCCATTTGATCTTTTACCAAACACAAAGGTTGTATAGAGGTTGTATAAGGTTGTATAAGGTTGTATAAGGTTGTATAAAGGTGTAAAGGTTGTGTTGTACAGTACAACATCCAAGAGGAGGTGTTGGAAATGCTATGAAAGGTATTGGGACATTATAAAGTTTCAAAGTCGTTAAAAATTGAATACATGTAGGAATGAATGGGAGTGCTGAAATTTTTAACTGTGATATCTCTAAACAATGAAGAATTTGTCGAGATATTGTTCAATGTAAAACAGTGCACTTCTCAATTATATTCTTCTATCCAATATACCTACATTCATAAGGTCGCCATTTCAAAGTAAAGTATCAAGTATTAAAATATACAAACTTGCAGAGTTAATTAACGTTTGAAGACTTTCTTTTAACTTCCAAACAGACAGACAACATCATCTGTAAATTACACTTGGAATGCCCTTTTCTGAGAAGAAAGTGTAAATTTTGTTAGTGGAATAAAATCCCTCAGTCCATTACCCTGAAATGGGGGTTTTTTGGAGGGAGGCACAACATTCCAAAATCAAAACCCAGATTGACACATTTTTAATAGGGCTTTGAAAAATTCAAAGGATAAAAGGTGTGTCTTAATTATTATATGCTTATGTTGTCTCATTTTGTTAACAATTATTGTTGTAGAAACAAGAATCAACCTGTACAGATCCATCCCATAAGTCCATTGTTGTGAGTTTGGAGGTGAAGAAAAAAACAAGAGTGAAGAAGAAGATTACTGAGGGAAATAGGCTCAGAAGAAGTTTACACTTGGCAGATCCACTTCCAAAGTTGTCTGAGAGTGACCAACAAACCCTGGCCCAGTGCTTGTCTAGACAAAGAGAAAAGTTCAAGTCTTCATTGCATCAAAATGTTAAATGATACCCAAACTAGGCCTACTGCAGTGCTAAAATTAAGAGAACTATTATTAATTAGGGATCTAGTTTAAAATGTAATGAATCACAAGTCTTAGGGTTCTTGCAAAGTTATTTAAGTTAAACAATTTAACTGAATTTAACCTATACTTTTTATACCGATTTAAAATATCACTTAATTCAGAATCTACTGTTACTAAAATATTATTTTTTTTTAAAGTTAATCAAAGAATGTTTTTATTTGAAAATAGCCTACCTGACTTAAATAGGGATTATGTTTTATTCTGAAGTGTTTCACTTTAAGGCTAGAAACAAATACTTAAGTCACTCTAAGTTAATGTGGAATAGTATACAGGGTTAGTTATAGATTTTGTGTTTAATTGTTACAGTACCAACTAAGGGATTTATGTTATGTTTATAATGATGCTATTTAATAAAATAATGCTGGCTAGTTGTAATATTTCTTGACTGTGTTCTTTATATGATTCTTTTTGTTTCTTTAGTGCTGTAAATGATTCTTTCATTCTTTGGAATTAGTCACTCTTAACTGTTGGAACATAATATTCCATCCCAAATACTATTTTAACAACCAACAAAACCGAACTATTGGTGCTTTTAATACAAACAATTCAATGCTGCTTCAGAACTGCCTACCATTAACGTTGTTTCAAAATTCTATGCAATTATTTTTTTTAAATATCAGATCCAACAGTTCTAAAATGAAGTAAAGCCATTATTTCATTTTTCTCAACTGTTTCATGGCTAATTTTAGTTTTGAGTTCTCATACTTAACCCTATCCGGATGGGCAAAATCGTGACATTGAACGGGAAAAACTTATAGGAAAAAATAAAAATTAATTTTTCTTATTTGTGTTCTGTTATACAAATATACATAAAATAAACACAATGGAACACTTCATTCTGTCAAAATAATTTGTTACTAGTTTTTAACTATGCGGATATACCCTCTACCCGTCCACGAATGAGTAGAAAAGCGAAAAGCAGCGGATATATCCGCCACCCGTCTTTGAAGATATGACCACACAACGTTAGGCAATAAATAAAGACAACGTAGTGTTGAGCGCGAAACGTTGAGGGGGGAGCGTAGAAGAGGTGGGTGGTGCACGGGAGATGGGGTAGGCACAGGAGAGAGGGGGGAGTGTGGGAGAGAGCGCAGCGATGGAGAGAGCAGGAAAGTGGCGCCTTCGTACCATGAAACATCTGGTTACTGCTCAAGCACCTGTCAGTCTGTCTGTAGAGAAGGCGGATACATCTGCTTCCAGTCCGGAACATCAAAAACCATAAGCGGATATATCCGCCACCCGTCCTTTATCTCCAAAGTCTTAGGCGGATATATCCGTCACCCGTCCGTAAAGGGTTATGAGATTTCATTTATCTTGATTTTGAACTCTATATACTCTAGCAATATATATTCAATTCAAAAAGTTGTTATTCATTAATATATACAAGAATGGTGTCAAATTCATCATTACATCAAATACTGAAACATATTGCCATGAAAGTAATAATTAAATACGGTAACTTCTTTATCAGCATTGTACAAGTTATTAAATTACCTGTAGAAACTTTATTACCTGTTCTATAGAAACTTCCGGTAGCCAATAGTATATAAGGGACCACATTGAGATTCTTGTCATTCGCCTATTATTGGGTCTGATGATCACCACTCACCATCTATTCTATATATAATTCAGTTTTAAAAATCTTTGTACAACTAAATCTAGAGTTCTACTGGACCGATTTTATTAATTAATGGGTCGTTGGAAAGCTTAGGTCGTGTAGATTTGCAAATAATTATGAAAGTTTGTTTTTATCATGATTTATGGTGAAAAATTTAAAAAAACATGTTTTCCATAAGAAATACATTGAAAACGGTGTTTTTCACACTTTTTATTTGGGTGCGACTTTTAGCTGCCTTTTTTTAGTGTTTCCAAGAAGTGTATGGTATCAATTTGTAGGAAATTTTATTCTATTTCAGAATATCACCTTCCACTTTGGTCGATTTCCTAACCATTTAAAAGTTATTTGCAAAAAAGCTAAGCAACCTCCGAATTTATAACAATGAGAAAATATTGAGTTTGGGATATTTTTGTTAAACTTTGTACAACTAAATCTAGACTTCTACCGGACCGATTTTGTTAATTAATGAGTCATTGGAAAGCCTTACTCATGTAGATTTGCAAATAATTATGAAAGTTTGATTTTATTTAATATTTGTGGCGGAAACATAAAAATAACAAAAATACATTAAAAACTGTTTTTTCAGGTTTTTATTTTCAAGTTTATATTTGTAGTCAGCTTTTGGCTGCCTTTATTAAATAATTTCAAGAAATACACAGAAGTTATTTGTAGGAAATTTTATCTTCTTTCAGAATATCACGTGCATTTCCTACGATTTACTCACCATTTAAAAGTTATTGTCAAATTAGATAAGTGACCTCCAAATTTTTAGTTGTTAAAAATACTGAATTAGGGATATTTTGTTAAACTTTGTACAACTAAATCTAGACTTCTACTGGACCGATTTTGTTAACTAATGTATCGTTGGAAAGCCTAATTTGTGTAGATTTGCAAATAATTATGAAAGTTTGATTTTATTAAATATTTGTGGTGAATAAAGAATAAAAAGCAAAAATACATTAAAAAATGTTTTTTTTTATAGTTAATATTTTAAAATTTTCTTTTATATGTATTAAATAACGGCTTGTGAGTAAACAGTGTAAGAGTAAATATACAATAGGGTGGCTCGAATTTTTTATTTTTTTTTTAATAAAATTCTAATAACGAGGAAAACTTGTGCATAGACGTGAAATGCATAATAAAGGCATAATAAGGAATAAGGGCTTGTGCATAATAAAGGGAAAAATAATAGAAAATTTGAAATCACGCAGTAGGCTTAAGTTACAAAAAAAATTAAATTACCAAAATTTTTTTTCCTAATAGTCAAAAAAGTGCTTTAAAGAGTGCTAAAGAGTTTAAAGTGCTTTCCAAACACGTAAATCATACTTTCAGACCTGTTATTCTTTGACTGTATGTATTCGCGCAAAAGGCCGAAAGTACAGTATAAGTAAGTTGTTGTTTGTACAATGTTCGACTTACTAAAAATGGCATTTTCTATATCTGATGAGTGTAACACATTAAGGTTTGTATTAAGACACTAACAAGTGATATTCAAACAAATGCATTAGCCAAAAACATCATATTACACTACACAATGCTATTGTTATAGGGAAAAGTTTATTTACAGTACATAGAAGCCCCTTTGAATTGTGACTTGAAATTAAATGTGGGCATCAGCTGCCTTGATTTTAAAGTAGCTCTAATATATCCATCTCGATTTTCATGCCCGCACACTTTTTCTGCTGATTCTGCTGGGTGTGACATGGGAATTCGAGGTAGTTAAACTCTGGTAGGGCTTTGTCTTTCAATAAAGAAGCAATATGTTCAGTTGGCATCTTAGACAGTAGTGGAGGCGGTGTTAACTTACAGGTTGACCAATCATTAAGTTCGGTGTAGTCGTTTGCACTAAAATTTATTGAAGGTACGATGAAGTCTCTAACGTATCCTTCAGCTGATGGCTCATTTCTGGATTTTAGGATTCTTCGGTACCCAAGTTCTCTAATGCTTGGGCTGTTATCCATTATTATAGCCAACATCATATTTTCAGGGTGGCAGAAGAATGCGTTCCTTTGAACTACTGGATCAATGATTTTCTTGATATTGTCCGTCAGATGTCTGGTTGTTTTCACTACCTTCAAAATATGCTTCGGTCGATCTTTCACAGTCCAGTATTTCTTGATATCAAACCACACAGGTGCATTTACTATGTAATTTGCAAGAGTCTGTAACTCAATTGTTGGACTAGTTTGGGAGACATACAATCTTAAAACCCGGTTAGCACAGGTAAGCCAACGAGAGTGGCTGATGGGTCCAGGATCCTTAGCAGCCAAATCTGGAGTACAAATTCCTGTGTTGACTGCTCTTACAATGTCTAAGAGATACTGCTGATCTTTACTCAGATTGGATTTTGTTATATAGATGACTTCTTCTGATTGAATCGGTTCAAATTCTACAACACAGAGTTTCTCACAGCCGAGGAGTTGTTTTCCGATTGGACCGCTGAATGAGGCTGGCCCTGTTGTAGTTCCATCCAAGTGTTCAAATAAATGCCTATATGGCAACTCATTAAAATGTATCAAACATATAAACCATTGCAAAGGACGGCGACACTTCACTTCTATGTTATGAACAACACCGTTTCTCCATCCAGTGTTTGTAGCTGTTCCATAACATCCGATGGCCTCCACTACACTATCAAATCCTTTACTGTCCAAGTGTTCGTAAATACTATCTGGAATTTCATTGCCGGTCCCTTTCTTTGGTGTGACGTGGCAAATGAATTTACTACCAGGCTCACTTATTACGCTAACATGTTCTTCTTTTATAGTTCTGCGGCACATTTTCGATCCAACCTTCTCTTGGGTTAAAGTCTTATCTTTTCTCCCTGTGGTGTTATTAATTAACCATATGTTTTATGTTTAAAAGACCAGATGAACTGATTATTTATTGTTATTATTTACCTTTTGTTTTGAGATGAGTTGTTGAAATTACTAGATAAAATACTGTTCCAAAAATGTTCATTTTGATTAATTAGATAGTTTCTTCACATGGTGTCAGGTTGAAAGAAATATGGGAAGCCGAAATAAAAGAACATCTAAAAGAAATTTGAAGAAGAGAGATTACTTACAAAAGGAATTTGATCTTGAATCAAGTGAAGATGAGTCCAAGCCTAGGAATCAGGTTTGTTCAAAGAACGGTGTAAGAGATAAAACCTCAACTGAAGCTTCGAGGGTTACTACAGTTTCAGGTATGCAGACTCAAATTTCTCCACCAGAAGCTTTTGATTTTCAAAATCCTGCCTTATGGCCTCGTTGGATGAAAAGGTTTGAGAGGTACAGGATTGCTTCAGAGCTTTGCTTCAAGCCTGACAGTCAACAAATTAGTATGCTCTTGTATACTCTAGGCGACAAAGGTGAGGATCTTTTCCGTACTTTTGGTATTTTTGATGAGAATAATCTTCAGTATGAAGAAGTTGTTAAAAGTTTCAGTGATTTCTTAAAAGTCAAATGTAACATTTAAACGTGATCGAGCTAGAAGACGAGAAAAATATAATCATCAACTGATTCAATATTTATACTACAATGAAAGAAAAAAATGTGTGAGAACTGTGCTTTCTGATGAACAGAAATTATGTAATATTCCAATAAGAGAATTACAAGAATCCTTTCAAAACAGATGGTCAAAAGAAAATAATGGAATGTCAAATTCATATAAAATAATTGATGAAACTTTACAAAAC